GCATTTTGATCAGCCTTATGCTTCCCATTCAAAGATGAACCAGTAATACCATGAAGTTACCATTTAAAAAATCTAAGAGTAGAGGGGTAAGAATGATGCCTGAGGGTCCAATATTTGTGACAGAAGTGAGACGGCTCTGAGCGGAATTATTTTGTGGTTAAGAATAATTCTACTAAAGCAAACCCTCAGGAACACGCTTTCCTTTTGATTTGTCAAAGCATTAGTGCAGTTTCTAAATATTTTCCCTTAAATCATAACATTGAGCAAGAGCAGAACTATTTTAAAACCACTGAATAGATAGATGATAACATAAACCTGGAAGAGGTCCTGGCAGTCCACCACTCATTTCCAGCTTTTGTAGGACATAACTTAGGTTATATTGGAAAGGATATTGTTTATTTTACTCATTTTATTCATTCAAACATTTCCAGAGAAAATTATTTCATTTCTCTTTAATTTACCACACAGTTTAGAATTCTTTGTGGCCTTGATTTGTATGTATTTTTTAACATAGCTTTATAAAGTCCATAGTTAGTTAATATATTCAAGTTACCTCTTGTGTCTTTGCCTTTAATAATATATGTTTACTTGCTGCGTAAGAAAACTAAAATGACATAAGATAATAAGAAATGCCAAAAGAAAAAAAATATAAGTATTTAAGGGCTTGAGGTCTAATGTCATATATCTATATCATAAAGGACAACAAACAATTGTTTATTGCATTGATGAAAGCTGGACTTTGTCAAGTGTTGTTAAGGCAATTCTCAATAAAGAAAGTTATTTTTACCATATCTGACAGACATTTGCTTATTAAAGGAAAACAGAGTTCCCCAAATTTAACATTTTTTATCAGTGTGTCAAGATACATAACTATAACATTTACTTTTGACCCAATTCCCATTCAATTTTTTCTTGATGATTGCCCCCTAATTACCTACCCCTGCTCCGTAATAATTTTAATATTTGCCTTTGATTTTCTGCTTAAAAGGAATTTAACTCTTTTTTCTTGAGTGTTTTATATATGCTGTCACTTTAATTCTCAACAACCCAAAATTTTCCATCTAGCAAAGTTAGGGTTCAAAACAAACCTTCCTTTTTATTGTAGAATATTACTTTTTACATATTTTCCCTTTTAAAAACACTTTTATTTTTCACTGTTTCTCCTTCTAGCTTTGTCTCTCTTTAACTTTCAAATTCCAAATATGACCCATTTGTTGTGTGCCTTTTAGTTCCTTGACGCCTACTCATTCCTGAAGTCTTCCCTACACCTCTCTCTTTAAACTGCCTTCTCCAAAGTTTCCAAAGACTAATTGCCCAAATCCTGGCTTTTTTGTTTTCCTTCATGTTTCCACGTTACTTGATGTTAGGGGTAGCAGAGGAGGTAACAGAAAAGGGATGTCCTCAGTGAGTGGCATGTTGGTAGATGTTTAACAACCTACTTTTCATTTGTAGCTGTTGCCAATTTCCAAAGTGTAAATACTCTAACATGGATGATTTTACTCTCCCAATATGTCAGTGAACAGGGAGTTGGGAGGCTATGTGAACAGTGGGCTCTGGGGAGCTGGTGGGGCCTGGCTTCAGCAAACCACTGCCGATCTCTTTTTGGAATGTTAGTAGGCCTTGGCTTTTGCAATATGTAGCCCCTTGTTTCATTTTCCATCGTTCTGGTTCTAGTTTCTCTCCATTTTTTGTTGTTTTTATTTTATACTGTGCCCCTAATTGTAGATTTAATTGAGGGTTAAATTTTTCATCCCTTTATCCTCTTCCTTAGCATTCTCCTCTACTCTCATGCCTTTTATCATTACTTTATCATGAGTGATGCTAAACCCTCCACTGCTCTCTGGAGGTCATCTCCCCATTCAGTTTCTTATCAGATAGCCCCTCCTTTACTTCTTATCTTGACCTTACCCAAAAAGTACTCACATTCCTACTATATGCCAGACACTTCATGAAGTGTCTTGGAAACAGGACTTGGAAGTTAGTACCCATATTTTATGGATTAAAATAACCAGATAATTTGATCAGTTTACTCACATTGACCCATTCAATAGGCAATGGAATGCAGATGTGAAGCCAGGTTTTGGTAGTATGACACCAACACCCATTTCTCTTTGTTTTATACCATAGAGGTCCTCAGTTAATGGAACTGTCATTTCTATCTCACACTGAATTAAAATATGCAAGTAATCTTTGCATTTTCTTAGTTGTTATTATTTACCAAGTCCTGTTTTTTATACATTGGGCACTTGTTCAAGTACCCATAATTCTTAGTTTAAAAAGTGAAATAATTATATAATGAATGACAATGTATTTTGAATATTTCCATTATATCTGTGCTACAATAGTGCTTTTCTTCATCTGTGTTGCAAGCAACCAATGATATTATATATAGAAAATCAAATTGAGCACTGAAGAAATATTCAAGTCTAGTTTGCTGCAAAGAGGGAAAAAATAGGATGCAAAATATGCTCATATTTTAGTACAGATCATGAAATTTACCATTTTCCTAGTGTTCTCAGCCCATTGCAATTGTATCCATTTCTAGGCCGCTTATGGCTTAGACTCTAGGGAATTTCCAATGAGTTTAGGGCAATATCCCTCCTTGCATTTCAGAGTCATTGAGGGGACCTCTGAGAAGTCTTTTTACACTTTCAGAAGTCTTAATTAGGGTCAGGATGAAGTAATCTATCCAAATTTTTCTAAATTGTAAGAGCTGGCCACACTGTCCTGCTATGAGTACAAATTGAATAATGAGTGAGGTTATCTTGCCCTCTGCCTGAGTAGATAGATGTCTCACTGGACTTCTGAACTAGCAGTTTCCAACTCCTGCATCACCTTGGTGTATTTCCTGTTCCCCGCAGCACTAGGGCTGCTTCCTGGTTAAGAATCCCTCAGGCTTGTCTATACAGAGCAATCCACATGCAGCAGCAAGACATGGGATGCAGCGCTTTCTCCCTGAGAAGTCAGTGGGGCCGTTTTGACTGTGAAGGTATTTTGAATCTGTAGAATAGTGAACAACCAGAAAATTACCTATTTGTGATTTCTTTTTAATTTTTAAAGATATTTATTGTTGAAAGTATTACATAGGTTCTCCTTTTCCTCTCATTAACCTCTTCCAGCCCGCTCCTGTCCTCCCCTCCTCCCCCCAGACCCTCATCACCCTATTGTCTGTGTCCACAGTTCTTAAGAGACATCAGTTTTCTGTGATACTCTGCTATCACCTTGGTACTGAAATGCTCTCAGTTGTTGTTTATTGTTAAATGTCCTCAAATACATCTTTTGTCAGACTCTGTCACTAGGGGACTTAGGTTAAAGTCTTAGATGCTTTTACATGTAAACACCGTTATTTTAAACAATACATGACAAATTGAAAAATAATGTACCTGTTAGTTGAGCATCAGGGAAAATTAAGTGAATGCAACATAGAATACAGGTGTCAAAGCTTTTACAGAGGGTTACCAACTACAGAGTAACCTGCTGTCTTAGTGCTTCTTTGCATCTGAGCTCTAACAGACAAGACTGAGTCTAGCAAAAAGGCTCTATTAATGTGCCTCAACTTATCTTCCACTGCTGAGCTATTAGTGGTGGCCTGTACTTGTAGGAGGTTTGATTTCAGTGAGTGCTTAGAAAAATAGACAAGAGAACACCTCATTCACATTCTTTCAGAGTGGTAGATTGGTTTGGGTAAAACTTATACAAAAATTTGGGAAGATTTCTGTTGCTGCATCATGACCATCTTGATATGATATAATTTTGATAATTGTCTTCCCTTCTCTACTTTGCAGAATCAAACTTTGTAAAGATATGGATGTTCATGACACCCAAGCAATGCCAGTGTGGACAAATAACTTCAAATGATCTTTTGAGCCTGATGAATGGCCTCTTGTATAGATTGATTTGAAACATAATGATACTCCTTATATAGGTCTTTCATTCTTTTAACTTACATAGTAGCATATATGGGGATATCAGAGGAGGGTGAACAATTATATCCCAAGGCCCTACTTCATTTGCTATTACTGTCAATGGGGGCCCTATTTTAAGAAGGCAACTCTGCATAATATTTAGCTCAGTCTGTGTTCCTGCATTTTGCAAGTGATAACATTACAAATGAATTAGTTTAGTGAGCCCAAATAAGTAGCAAGTAATAAAGTTTATTTTTCAAATATTCCAATTATAACTGCATGGTTCATTTTGTTGTTTTCCTAGAGAAAATTTATTTTAAGGTGTCTCTGTGTGTGTGAGTATTATACAATTTGTCTTATTTGGTCAGCCTTTGTCTCTATTCTCTCTCAGCCTGGTTGCCCTGGTTACCATTACATATTCTCCTGTGCATGAAGATCCTCTTTGACGTGCATTTATTTCTATGGAAACAATGATGTCATTGGTATGGGTGGGTAATGAGGGAAAGCATAATGAAGTGTTGAATATTGATCTTTCTTTTGGTCATAAAATGTATTATTAAATTACATTTTTAATTAGATAATTAGATTTTTGCTTTCCCTTTGATGTGGTCATGAAGCTACATTTTCCCTTGTTTATAGACTTGCTTGAATAAAATGACTTTAAGCATTGAAATACTGCACATCTCCTTCTTATGATATGTGGTCATAAACTCAACACAGTTACATATAACAGTAAAAGAATTATTATTTTAAGCTTAAAAGTGTCTCAGAGCGTGAAAAGATTATCTCAATAACATGTTATCATCACAATATTGCACAAATAATTTTATATTCACATCAAGGCAAGGCGCAATGTATAGATGGTGGATCAAGAGGAAATAAGACCCTGCTTGTAGTCCTTGGTTTAGAGACGCAAGGCTATCATAGGAAACTGATAGTTATTAAAACATGTTTTCTATGACATTAAGTAAGTCCATGTATAATTACTATTTCATTTTCTTTTAAGTCTTAGGAGGCTTTTAAGCCCTTTTTAGGCATCTGTTTCACACCCTGTTTTCCTTACACACTACTCCAGTCTATTTTTTTTCTTTATAGATGATGTGGAAACCTGCTTATGATTTTCTCTATACTTGGGGTGCTCACTATGGAAATAGCTACAGAGATGTGTTACAAGACCTGCAATCTGCTTTGGACAGAATGAAAAACCCTGTGACCAAACAATGGCGAGACTTAACTGGAGCTTTACTACTAGTACATTCTTTAGAGGTTTTGAGAGCAACTGCATTCTCCACTTCCGAAGAAGTATAGAAATGAAGGGTATGTCCTGTGGAGGAGGGAGAATAACAGGGGAAAATGTGTGTGTGTGTGTGTGTGTGTGTGTGTGTGTGTGTAAGAGAAAGTCCTCAGAAAAATAGTGCTTCTATTTTTCCCATTTGAAAATATATTTCCCATGTGAAAGCACAGCAGAACACAAAATCTAAAATGGGTTTTTATAACCAGACATGAATTTTTGTATCTATTTCAGATGCAAACATTGGGCTGCTTTGTTGTTGAGAAAGGAAAGAAAAACCCTCTCTCCCTTTCAAAGTTACTTTTAATTTCTTGAAGTTAAAACAAATGACTATTAGCATAATCACATCACCCAATACCCAGATAAACTAGAAGCTCTCAATGTGAACTATGCCATTTTACCAGGAGGCAGACAGGGAGAGAGCAGAAGCAAACACACACTTTGTGCACAGGGCTGCAGGCTTCCTATATCTGATCTCTTATTTCTCAGTGGAGTTTGCCAGCATTATTCCCATTTTCCATATGAAGAAACTAAGAACTGGATAGGATGCTCAGGGTTAAAAGCTAGTGTGAAGTAGGTTTTCTCTTTGAAAAACCTGGTTTTGTTTTTTTTTAAATCTAGAATATAATAGTAAATGCATATTAAAATTTACAGGGAAATGGTAGCCATTTCATTCTAATTGAAGCTCATTGCTCTTGTTTACCATCTCTTGACAGACTGCCGAAGGGGATGTGTGAGTTATCAGAAATCTGTTGCCTGCAAACATGGACAGGAGTTTCCACCACCTTCCTCCAGCATCTTGGGACCAGCTAATCCTTGACCTTTATTCAGGATCCTAATGTAGAATAGTTCATTAAGTCTCAGGGATTTTTAATAACAGGGGTTATTTTTAAAAATAAAACCTTCCTTTATCACTGTTGAATGTAATAGTCTTAACCACCCAAAACACTGATACCCGTGTGTGTGCATGCTCACATGCTCATGCAGACACATGTGTGTGTTTGTGTACCAGAGTGTTTTATAAAGATTATATAGGAATCTGGGCCAGTATAAAGGCGAACTACTGGCAGAGAGTTCAGAAAGAAATGGTCTGTGCTTACTCATGGGTTCAACTCTCTGGTCACCTGCCAGTATTTATATATTTTGGATGCTCATTCATTTATTGTCATTCAGTTGACAGATGGAGTGAGTGTTCCTTTTTTGTGGTAGGCACATGCATTCTTGAGGTTAATAATGGGAAAATAAAACCAGCATGATCTCTGACATCAGGATTGCCAAGTGATGGATACAGATAATAATAAAAAATAATTATGCAGTTAAATGTAAATGGCATCTGGAATAATAGCTGCAATGGAGAGTCTAGGATGCCAAAAAATATACTAGTAGATAGGAGGCCATCATCTGAATCAGAGGGATCAAGTGAGTTTTCGCTGGGAAAGGCATGATGAGCCCGAAGGAGGAGGAGGCATTGCTTCCAGTCTGGGATGGTGGAAGAGGGAGTCCCTCAGACCACTGAAGCCCTCTGGAGGGAGGGAGTGCAGGAGAGGCAGGCAATGCCTGAAAGGGTGAAGGAGTGAAGGAAAGAAAGACACACCTTCAAAGGTAATGTGGACAAGCTGAATAAGGATTTTGTTTGAGATCCTGAATAAAACATGTCCATTTGGCTGAAAAGTGAAAGTAGAATCTTTTCAGAGCTTTTAATACATCCACCCTGGGGCATTTGGTATGCTGGCAAAGGTAACTTGAATTAGGGTTTCAGAACAATCTCTACAGCTTTCTATATTTATATTTGATGATAACAGTACAAAGCCTGACCAAGGAGTTACATACACACATTCAAGGATGGAATTTATTTTAGTTGAAACTAAATTCTGGGAGAGGGAAAAAATGACTTGGAAGTTCAGGACACAATCATTGAGTGGTAATTTTGCTTTCTTTAGAACATTCTTGGAATCTTATTAACATGTCAGCAAATCAGAGAATTTCGGGAAGGAATGAATAACTGGGTTTCTCCAGGCTCCAGGGTCTGAGAAGACAGAGATTTTGTTAGCTGGTTGGGGAAGTAAGATGAAATAAGTCACTTCAGGTTTACATAGCATCATGTGTTGTGATTGTGACTGGGAAGTTTAAGAAGAGTTTAAAAAATGAAAAACACGATCTTTGTAACTTAAGGATGAAGTGATGGTTTCAATATTAATAGACACAAAGGTATTTTATAATCTTATAATAAATCCTCTCAAATTTTAAACCCATGTCCAAACTTTCTGTTCTTATAAATATATTCTAATATTTTATAAATCATTTCTAGTTTTCTTTCCATAATGGATTTCCATAATCAGAAAAGATTAGCTCAGTAATCATGAATTGCCTTTAATATTTGGCAGCAAATCAAGGGAATTAATAAAGCACTTAAATCCCATCCTTGATAACATTAAAAGCATCAAAAACGATTAATCTAAAATTTCTTCAACAATTTTGGAAGCATAGATAGTTCTTTTGTTTCCTCAGGCTTTTCCTCTAATGATGCCTCAGGATGAGATTTTAGTTCAGTGCTCAGCTTGCAACATAACAATTTTTCTGTGTACGCCGCAATCCTCTACTTCCGTCTGTTAAAGCCCTAATATGAAGGCCAATTAAGGAGGTGCCTGCTACAGTGGCTCATTAACTGCTCATATCGATAATGGATACAACACATTTTTGTAGAAAATACCATATGAAGTTTTGAACTAGGGGATGACTAGTTTCCTGGAAGGAGCAGAATGAACTACATTAATGGGTGGTGTTGATCTAAAAAAAGTTGCCGCTAGTAAACAGCTTTGACTATGTGATATGAAAATGCAATAGAGAAAGTACACTCAAAATCATATAATACTGTAATTGGAAAATTCAAAACTTGAATTTTTATACTGTGCTCATGTAAATTATATTTTCTGTAATTTTTGTAATGCCTAAGGAATATTTGAAGCAATTCGAAGGACAAGGAGAATAATGAAAAATTATGTTGCTGGAGGCTTTTCTAATGAAAATAGATCTTGTTTCTTCTTATACATAGAAATTCTTCCCTGCTCTCCCATATGGAGTGTTTTCCCATGTGCTGCTGTAGAGCTTAGCGAGTGAAGTTCCAAGATCATATGTTGGCATTATACCAGGTGGGCTTACTCCAAAGACATTCATCAGAATAAAATAACCACCTGGAGAGTTTGTTGGCACTGACTGCTGAGCCCCACCCTCAGAATTTCTGATGGGGCAGGTCCAGGTGCCCGAGGATGATGATGCAGATGCCTCTGGTCCAGGGACCCCAGTCAAGAACTACTGCATTAATTTCCTTCATTTCTATAGGAAGAAGAGAATCGTTATTAAACTGGAAAAACATGCTTTTAGATAAACAAATTTTTGTCATCCCACCAGAGAAATAGTTTTTAAGCTGTAAAAATACACACCTAAATCCCATTATATAATAGCTTAATTTATTTATATAAGCTGAACTTTTTCTAAATGAATTATTAAGAGCCTGAAAATAGTCATTTTGATTGTAAAACTAATTAAAATAATTAAGATCTGCCTATTTGAAATGCAAAGATATTAGAATAAAATAGATTAAGAATTTGAGACATTTATCAGTGTATTAAGATGATTTTGCAAATATATTCAATGATTTTGTTTCTATAAAATATTTTTGGAGAAAGTCTTCTTTTCAGTGATTTGTCATTTGTTAAATTTCATGTTGAATTAATTTTTCCCCATTGAAAAATATATTTATAACTAATGTGATCAGCTTAATTATGCCTTACTTTCATTGTAGAATTACAAAGGATTACAGGCACTTACTAAAAAGACAGGTATTCTCTCTCCAATGAATAGTTCTACTTTTAAAAGGATAGTGACTCTGAGGAGGGGTGATGAGCTGAATAACCTCACTTTGACCTTAATGTATTATATCTCATTTTCCTTCTATAGTTCTCTTTTTGGTTATCCTTCTGGGGGTGAGTAGGAGGATCTGTGGCTTCTTCCTTTCTGTTCTGAGACATTTGAGACTACCAGGAAGCAGATTTTAATTGTTTCTAATATTTAAGTTCAGACTTGTGCCTTTGGAATGTACTGAGACATTTAAAATATTCATATAAATATATGACTAGTAGTTGAAAGTCAAAATTTAGTCACGATGAAGTTACTGGTTTTACTTATACTGATTCTACCAAATTCAGTGTTATAAGGAGTATCTGAGATTGGCAAGTTCCATGTAATGTTGACTGTATGCATGTTAAGTTTTAATGATATGCAATTAGTTACTACACTTTGTCATAGTCAGAAAATCCATTTTGTTGGATTTTACTCCCAGAAAATATGATTCAGTGCTCACCCAGGCCTCTTACTTCATGGTGGAAAGTGAGGAAAGTGTGAGGGGAGAGATAGCAGAGAACTTGATTATGGTCTAATGGTCTAATGAAAGACGACTATCCAGAGACAATGGGAACATTGTCTTCCTCTCTTTGTGCTGATCTTCTTAAAAATGGAATATATATTTTATTCTTTCTCCTTAACTAATCAATAATAAGATACAAAATAACTGTTGCTTCGTTTTCTCCAGGATTGATTTAATGCAACTTAAGGCTGCTCTTTAAAACTACGAAGAAACTTCAGTTAGAGCAACCTCAGCAACCCTATGCTGAGACTCACTGAGCAGTCCTCGGGAGCTGGTGTCAGAGAACCCATTTCAAATCAGCTTAAGCACAAAGAATGTATTGTTCCTCCCAACTGAAAACTCCAGGGGTAGTTTCAGGAATTCCAGGACTTGGAGGTGTAATCAAATTGCTTGTTTGGGTTTCCCCTTCCCCCCTTCTCTGCTTTTAATTACATGTTTCACCCTCAGGCCCCGCAAAGCAGCCCAGCAGTTCTGTGCTCTCTTTATGGGGCAGGAGCAGCGGCAGCTCAGCCTCACCTCTCCCGCTGTTCCAGGCTCAGGTGTCAGGGCTTTGTAATGTGTCACCTTGGCCAGACTAAACGATGTTTCCCAGAGTTCTGTTCTCTCCACTGCATATTCTGGTTAGAGTTTGCCTCAAGAGAAATCCTTGGAAGATCTGGATGGTCACAGTGGAACAGTAGCCATTGTGACTCCTGGAAGGTAGAGGTGGGTCAGGCCCCTTTGCAGCCGCTGACTCAGCTTGTCAGTGGGGGAGGCAGCTGCCTGCCTGCAGGCCCAGTTTCCCTAGGTTCTCCGCCTTTCCCTTCCCCAAATCCTGGCCACGTGTGGGTGTGAGTCTGCAACAGAGCACCACTTCTGTGGGTTATCCACAGCAGCTGGGTTGCAGGCTTGGAGCCTGGGAGGGACCAACATGAGTGTCAGTGGCTGACAAATGCAGATTCTAGTTGTCCCTGCTCTTCCCAAGTCCACGCCCATTTTTCCTTCACTCAAGCAGACCTATAACTTCCGGCTCAGTGCCAGAAACAAAAGAAAAAACCAGGTAATGTGTCTGGTCAAATCATTGTGATAAATCCTATTGTACATCATTGCCAGACACTCAGCTTTTCCGAATGAACCCTGATTGATAGGTAGGGCAAGAGACTATTTCCTTATAACTCAAAAAAAAGAGTCCCTATGATTGGACCATTTAGGCTTTGTGTTCATCCCTCAGCCAATCACTGAGGGCTGTAATCAGTGGCCCTCTGATTGGTCAGATCTGGGTCACATGCTCTTTCCTTCTGACCCTGTCCAGACCACCAGGTCTAATCAAGATCTGTTCCTGGAAATGGGAAGAGATGGATATTGGGGAGACCAACAGCAATTTTCCACTAAAAATGTGAGTGAGTTTAAACTCAACACTATTTTCTGTGTTAGGAAACCTTTATGCTTCACGTGTAATTCAAGAAACTAGTCATATGAGTCCTTATGAGAGTGGGCAATGGGCCAGCTTCTACACTTCT